GGGAAAGTAGGGGAGGGAACACTGTTAGGTAGAGATGAGTATTGATTTGGGTGAAGAGAAGGGCAATGTACCAAATGTGAGTGATCAACATGGTGGCACTGAGGAAGAGGAAGACATAGAGAGGTACATGGGAGGTACAAACAACAAACATGGGTATATGGGTGGACAGGCTGAACTATTAGGTATGTCTATGCAGCAGGGAGTGTACCCAAGACCACGTATAGGGTTGGCAGACAGTGGTGCTGTAAGTGTATTTGTATGATCTGTAATAATTCCCTGGTGTATAGTAGAGCTGACAACGGACAAAGCTGTAGTCACTTCTTGAGCACAACCAGCTACACCTAGAGGGAGCGAGTAGTTGACCCTGTGGGCTCAGGACCATAGTCACAGGGGACATTAAGCTCAACTGGCGTAATATACTACACAAAACATTGTTCCAGGTCCTACTTTGGTGAGTAGTGACTGGGATCTTAAAAGCTTGCAAGAAGCCATCTAGATGCAACAATGGGTCTCTCCTCGTCCAGAGCAAAGAAGAATGAACCAAAGATTCATGGAATCAATTAGTCCCAGTGACTGGTACACCATGCGATCTGCAGCCTATAAGACTATATGAGACCTATGAGACTGGAAGAACTAGATGGTGCCCTGCTACCACTATCAACCACTTGTAGAGGGATCTATGTAGGAGATCCTGGATAGAAAGGGAGAACAATGTGGAACAAAACTCAAAATCATTTGGGGGGAAAGAAAAGGGGAGGGCACACCAGGTTTGCTGGTCTGATAGGGCCCGGTGGAACCACTGAGCCTATGGCCCCTAGCTGCCTTTCAGGTCTGGAATTGAACCCACACCTGTGGCTTCCAGCCAAACAAAAGACAGGCATATATGAGTTGAACATTTATCTGAGGTAGATACACTCCTCGGACAGAACAATGATGGGAGAAAGAAGGGCTGTTTATGCACAGGGAGACAGCTCAGGGGGCAGGAGTACATGGAGGGATGGATATGGGAAGAGGTAACTATGGGGAGGAAGTGAGAGGGGAGCTGTTGCAGTGGGGTAAATGGTATTCAATGTAATGAGAGAAGGTGTATGTGAACTGCTGTATGGAAAGTGAATTTGCTCTGTAAACTCTCACCCAAATCACAACTTAAAAAAAAAGAACTTTAAGTGCCCAAAACTTGATGATGATCTAATCAAATGATCCCTTATACAGCTGAAGAAACTGAGGCCTGCAATGATTTCAAAACACATCAAGCTGCAGAGCTTGGTCAAGCCAGTGAATCAAATACTATTTCCATTAAGCCATTACATTTTAGTACATTTTAGAAACCTGAATTACATTTTAATTTATATAATAATAATAATAATAATAATAAAAGTCAGTTTAAAAGTAAAGGCTTCCAAAAGGCATACTGTAAGGACTTCAGACTTTATACATCTTCTTTGTAAAAATTTTCACATAAAATATCTCACCTACCATTACATTTGTTGTTTCCGACACTAAAAACAGACTTTATGGGGGACATTTTAATATATTAGAAATAGATTCTAAAATACATTTTACAATGGCAGAAAACATATATACAGTAGTGAGATTCCACACAAATCTTTATATTTTGGGGCCTGAAATAAATCTTCTAATTACCTCTTCCAAATTATATTTTATTTTCTTAATGGTGGGATTGTCTCCACTCCACAGAAACAAGTATGATTAATACATTAGAAATATTTTGAAGAAGAATCTGTTGGAAGACAGTTTTTATTAACTATTCCAGACCAATCACTGCCTCAAAAATTAAATCTATTTATTCTCTGGTTGCAAAAAAGATTTCATAACAAAAGTGTATGTCTAATTAATTTATGTGTAAGTTTTAGCATTCATATCCTAAAATCATGGGAACCTTATTTTATAAAATCTTTAACACTCTAAGTAAATAAACTACATTTCATGACAATGAAATGAATTCTCTAAATTATCCATGAAGATCTGAAAAACCTAAATATTTAACTATAACACTGTTATATTTACTAATAATCACATACATCATGACTGTGTTAAAAAAAAATCTACAGACAGACTGATAAGAAGCTTGCAAACTGTGGCAGAATAAATACAACTTTCAAATAATACTTTTGATTCTAGTTTCTATCTTGCCCAAAAATGTGCATATCATAGCCAGCAGATTTTTTTCTGTAGAATTTTATTTTGAAAATAATTTTTCACTGGAAGATTAATCTAAAAAACATTTTTAGATATGAAAATGTTATACAACTTATTACAAATTAATAAGATAATTAATTCTGCGATTAGGTACACCATGTTAGTTTTCCTACATAAAAAATATTGCACATTTTCCTTAATTGTGTCTCCAGGTATGACTGATGACTAAACTATATGGAATTCTAAACTAGTTTATAGTTATCCTGTGAAATGCCAACTTAATAAATACCAGAACTAAATGCACTGTAAAACAGCCTTTTTGGTAAACATGCATTTATTCACAGTTGATTTATTTCCTTTAGATAAATGCATAACTCCTCAAAATTATTAAGGAACCTATGTAGAAGGTACAAGAGCACACTATACAAATCTATTTCTATCTTTATTTTGAGGAAACACTGATCTTGGCAAAAATATGGCATTATTTTCAAATGAACTATTGCTGGTAGGAAGGCGTACTTTAAAACTTCTGTGTCGTGCACCTGCTTTTCTTTTTAAATTAAAATTTAAAAGCATTTGTTTTCAGAGATTTATCTATTGCCACATTAAGTGAATAATCTTATAAAAACAGACCATGAAAGCAGTCAAGCATGTAAGTTAAAATTCCTCCAGAGTCCCATTTTACTAAGGTATGACTGGCTTAAATTGCTAGACCACTCACTGATCATAATTTAAGAAATTGACAAAATCAGACCATTTCAATGCTATGAAGATGACACAGACCTGCATAATACAGCATTTCTCCACTGAGAAGAGGTCTTGTACACTTTAAAAATATAAATAAATATATATTGAATTGTCTTAGTTCTATAATAATCCCAAAGTGTTTAAAATATGCTTCTAAAACAGAAGTAGGTGATTGCAGAATATAGTTCCAGACTTCACTATTAATGCCAAAAACACTCATTCATTACAAATAACTCTACTGGTGCAATTGTTTGATTGGTTTCAGCAATTTCATTTCACAGGAGTGATCCATACTTTATACACACAGAGAATATATTACTTGAAAATCTCCAAAATAGGAAGAAAAGTTTAGAAAGCTGTCAAATGCTTCCAAATGGAAAATATAGGTCTATTTCTGGCCCACTTTCACACCCTTAAAGGTGGAATTTGACAAAAGTCCATGGGTACAATTTACAAACTTTGACAAACTACTAAGTTAAAACCATTTTCTCTGGGGGAGATGGAAGGAAGTACCTTTAAAACCTGTTATACAAAATTCCAGCTGCCTTTTTATAAAAGTACGTTCCTTAGATTAAAAATCATAAAATTAAGGTGCAAGAAGTTAACAAAAATGAACTAAAGAGCTTTATTGACATCACAGTACATTCAAGAATAATTTTAAGAACATTACAGCTGAAAGAGAATGTCATGTTTATAGTCTTATTATGCACTAATTTTGGAAAAAAAAAAAAAAGTAATACAAAGTAACTCAGAGCAGCATCTGGAAAAAGTACACCTATTTACAGATTAAAAAAAAAAAAAAAAAAAAGATTCTGGTTTCACCTACACAGCCACAATGTGCCTCTATAATGAGACAAGCCCTTAAAACTCATGGAATTTTTTAACAACATCATGGCATTCTTGCCACATCATTCCTCAGCGTTTACGACGGGGAGGAGTTGTTGATCTGGAAAAAAAAAAGGGAAAAGACAAAATTTAAAAATAAAAATGTATTTTAAACTAAAGAATCCACAATATTAAATAAATATTAATGTATAGGATTTCTAAAATTACTTAAGGCTATGATCAATTATCAAGTACCAAACTGAGTTATTAAAGAGAGAGAGAGAAAGGACACTTTGAACTTTGAATCAATTCAGTCATATTTTTAAAAAATCAGACAAAATACTTTAAAAAGTATACTACCTTGATCGGGACTTAGACTTGTGTTTGCGGCTTGCCTTCTTACCAGACCTTTGAGATTTCTCCATGGATCGCGATCGACTATGTTTAGGCTTCTTAGCCTTCTTTTCTTTGCTACTTCCTGGAGATTCAGAACTGCTCCTTCCACTAGAATCAGAGCCTGAATGCTTTTTACTATCTTTGGTAGTACTTTTCTTACTATCCTGTCTAGAATCATGTCTTATGATTTTAACAGATATAGAACCACTCCTAGAGAATACTCTTTCACTTTCTCGTTTCCTTTTTAATCTATCATCCTGACTACTAAACTTAAAATCTTTTTCTTCCCTTTTTTGTTTCTCTTTTCTTTTATCCTGTTCACGCTCCCTTTCTTTGTCTTTCTTTTTCCTACTATCTTTATCTATACTTCGACTCCTCTCTTTTTTCCTCTCTTGTTCTTTAGCCTCACCTTTATGCTTATGACTGCTCCCACTAAGATTTCCACGTTGTTCATCAATTTTACGCCTATCTCGACTCCTACTTCGACTGGAACGATTGGTTCGCCTATCTCTTGAGCGACTTCTACTTCTACGTCTCTCTCGGGAAGGACTCCGATTTCTTCGTCTTTCTCTTTCAGTGCTATTTCTATTAGATCTTCTCCTATCTCTAATCTTTACCCTAGCCCTATTGCTCTCTATTTTAATTCTGCGAGAGTAACTTCTACTCCTGCTACGTCTAGCTTTAACTGTTGGAGATCTACTTCTACTGTGTCTCTTTTTCCTTTTAGGAGAAGACGACCGAGAAGTGGTACGACTACTACCTGAGCTAGAACTGTATGAAGAACTAGAGACAGTACTACTGGAACTACTACTTCTACTATTGCTACTAGAACTACCACTACTAGAACTTCCTGATCTACTCCTTCCTTGTTTCTCTTTCTCTTTATGCTCTTTTTTTGGTTCTAAAGCTGATGTAGTTTCACTTATAATTCTTTTCTTTTCATTAACCACATCACCGTCTGCTTCTCTTGCTTCTAGTAGAAAACTATTTTGCTCTTTATGGATAAATTCATTCATCTCTTTTGTAACCCTTTCTGTTTGCTGCTTTTCTTCTGAAACAGAAAAAGATAAAAATATTAAGAAAAGTAGACTGTATAATGAAAATACACATGCCACCAAATTTCAAGCCATCAAATAATAGAGTAGAAGTATACAATAAAAATAGAATATAAGCCATGTAAGGAAATAAAAACTGGTAGGAGTTCTGGTGGTGTAGTGCCTAAGGCATCTGATTGCTAACCAGATGGTTGGCAGTTCAAACCAACCAGCCACACCTCGGAAGGAAGATT